CGCTGCTAGATTTCCATCGGCATCAAAAAAAAAAAAAAAAAAAAAAAATATATATATATATATATATATATATATATATATATATATATATATATATATATATATATATATATATATATATATATATATATATAATTTCAAAAACAAAATGAAGAACCGGTACAGTTTTGCTGGGTGTATTAAAAATAAAAATCCAAAAAATCACAAAATATTTTTAAAAAATCACAAAATATTTCATATATATATAAAACAAAATTTCCTAACGAATCACTTGTTATTCTCGAGTTTATTATTTGAACAGTTCATGGCCGTAGGACCCCCCCCCCCCCCCCATTTTGCCGATGTATAGAATACTATAGCAAACATAGCTACTATATGCTTGTGCCCCCTCTATAAAAACGCCTGATGACCTTTTTTTTCTTGCTTACTAAGGAATTTTTGGTAGTTGATAGTGCCCCTCCAACTGAAAATGTATATGGTTGTGCCCCCCGCCCAAACTGAAATTGCTTCCTACGGGCCTGCAGTTACCTAATCAGCACTAGTATATTTTATATGTTATCTTTCCAAAAATCCAAATACCGTGGAATTTTGCAAATCGTGTCATGACAAGACGTTAAATGACCTTCTTGCCCCGCAGTTGCCCGAAAACCAATTACCTAACGTTCTCTTTGCACCGTTTTTTATGGAACGCCATAGCTGCCTGAAGGTCATTTTCATTTTATATGAGGTGGTATAACCTTTATGTGAAGTGGTTAATTCATTATATATAGTGGTAAAATCATTATATTCAATGAAAACTTTATTATATGCAGTGGTTTTATCTTTATATACAGTGATAAAATCATTATATACAGTGATAAAATCATTATATACAGTGATAAAATCATTATATTCATTGATGACTTTATTATATGCAGTGGTTTTATCATTATATTCAGTGGCAATGTCATTATATGTAGTGGTTAAATAATGTAATGAAGTGATAGTACCGTTACATTATGCTGTAAAATCATTATATGCAGTGGTTTTTCCATTATATACATTACTGATATCTTTCTGTGATGTGATAAATTCAATATATACAGTACAAACATAATTTGTGTGATAAAGCAATCATTACATTGTATGAAACCCGCTGCATGTGGAGTGCCAAGTTAATTTCATTCAGTGCGACACCTTTACATGAAGTGAAAAATCTATTATGTGCAGTACTAACATCATTATATTATATAGTAAAATTATTATATATATTCCTTAAATCATACTTTGCAGTGGTAACATCTTTATATGAGGTGGTTAATTAATTATATGATGTTGTTAATTTGTTAATATGATGTGGTCAATTCTTTTTATGCATTAGTCGTTTCATGTTATGCAGTGGTAACTTCTTTATCATCATCTAAACTGGTCCTCTTGCAAAAACATTTTTAAAAAATGCGCGGAGTTCCAGTTTAAAGAGTGTTTGAAAATAGGAAACCCGGGCCGTGGCAAATTAAAAGCCGGGACTATTCGAGATTTTTCAAATTTCTGATTTAAAATTTTCAGACTCTTTTTTTAGGCTAATGTGTTTTCGTTGTAAAAATTGTATTTAAATACTTTGTATTTTAGATTTTCTTTACGATTTTTGGTTTCAAGTAAAATTGGTAGACAGTTTCAATTTTCTGATTTAATATTTTATCCATTGTGCTATAAGTACTTAGTATTTTAGAATTTTTTTTGACGATTGTTGATTTCCATGTTGGTAAAATGGGTAGACCGGGTTGGCGATATTTTATGTGTGTGTGTGTGTGTGTGTTTTTTGTTGACATATTTGATAAAAATCTAATAAACTTAAAAATTATTCCGATGTTAAACACTGTATTTTAACTAAAAAAAACTTTTTCTTTTTGATAGTTATTTCTTTATTTGAAAATGCTATTTTTATGCAAAATACACATTTTCATTAGAAAAGGGATTATTAAACCAGATCCGATCATCCGGGGAGAACCTGGTGCAAAACACCATAAATCATTTCTAATTTCATAATATGCAAATGTGCACTGGTACATGTATCTATTTGTTAGTAGATGGAAAGAAACTGGATTACGTTAAATATGTAATTTGTTTAATACTTTTTTCGGGGGTGGGGGGTGTTAAATTACTAATATCAAATATTTATAAGACTGTTTCTAAGACTTCAGAAAACCTTAAATCACATTGAAATGCTTAAAATAAAAATTGCTGCATGAAAACATTTCATTTTCAAGTTTCATCTTTGCCGTCGCCAACGTGGCACGGTGATTATAGTGTCTGCTCTAAGAGACGCGGAATAAGGAGTCAATCCTTACGTCACGGGTTCGAATCCGACAGTGGGACGTTGAGACCGGTCCTTCGTAAGAGACCGCATAAAGCCATAAACCGAGGTCCCGTTCCACAGTAGGTGTTGGCACGAAAAAAATCCCTCACTGCTCAATGGTCGTAAGTGTCGAGTATAGGACAAAATTTGCAGCTCTCCACTGGCAAATTGTGGCGTCTCCATATGAGTGAAAAATTCTCGAGAGGGACGTTAAACAGCAAACAAACAACCAAATTAAAATCATTTTAGCCTTTTTGAATAAAATGATAAAATTAAGAGTTATCCTTCAAGGCTGAGGATCGGATATCCTTAAACCAAGCAACTTACGCGTGATTAAAGTTTGACACAAGGCTTTGCATTAATAGTCCTATAATTACATGCATATGTGATAATTCTTTAATTAATTTATATTTTATCAAATGGCATGTAGATAATGAATAAGTATTTCGGATTTTTTATGTTTGACTTCCGGGAGATCAAATCCGATTTCAATGAACCATTGGCGTCGGAAGGAAATTGATAGTGGGGTGGCTAATTGAAATAGAAAAAAAAATCAAACCTGAAAAAAAACTTGACAAGCAAAAAAAAAAAAGGAAAATTGTTCTTTCTCCAAACCCGAAAATCCTATTTCGGGGGTGTGGGTGGGTGGGTGGAGTGGGGGGGGGGGGGGTTGGTCGAACATCTTTCAGTACCAAATTCTTTTAAACACTACCAATTACCCTTCTTTCACTACAATGAATCGTGCCTGTAGAAAGTGGGGAGGGAGGGGGAGGCTAGACCTACGCCCGAATTTTCAATGCCTATATTATGTCTACCTTTGTAAAAAAAAAAAAAAAAAAAAGAGGGGGGCAATAGCCCCCCCCCCCCCCCCCGGTTCCGACGCCTATGTGAACCGGTTTTTCTTAAACGTGTCATTTCACTCAAAAAATGCCTTTCAAAGAATGAATAATTTTTAACATCAGAATAATTTAAAAGTTTATAAGCTTTCTGTCAAATATGGCAAAAAAAAAAACACAAACAAACAAAAAAAAAACAACAACAAACAAACAAACAAACAAAACACGTAAAATGTCTACTTGATTGCCTACCCGATTTACCAACCTCAGGGGCGGATTCAGAGAGGGCCTATGGGGCCCGCTCCACCCTCCCCCCCCCCTTTGTGTCCAAAATATACATAAGATTTAATAAATCAATTGTTTTTTGGTTTGGCTGTGGGCTACCTACCCCGACCAAAAACTTGTCGGGCCCCCCTTTTCAAGATTCCTGGATCCACCACTGAACTTGGAAATCAACGATCGCCAAGAAAATCTAAATTACTAAGTATTTTAAAATTAAATGCAATTTTTACAGCGAATACACATTAACCTATAAAAATGAGTCTTAAAATTTCAGCACAGTTGATAAAATCAGGAAGCTGTATAATAGAATCAGAAATTAGAAAAATCTCGAATAGTCCCGGCTTTTAATTTGCCACGGCCCGGGTTTCCTATTTTCAAACACTCTTTAAACTGGAACTCCGCGCATTTTTTTTAAATAAAAGGACCAGTTTAGATGATGATAAAGAAGTTACCACTGCATAACATGAAACGTCTAATGCATATAAAGATTTGAGCACATCATATAACAAATTAACAACATCATATAATTAATTAACCACCTCATATAAAGATGTTACTACTGCAAAGCATGATTTAAGGAATATATATAATAATTTTACTATATACTATAATGATGATAGTACTGCACATAATAGATTTTTCACTTCATGTAAAGGTGTCGCACTGAATGAAATTAACTTGGCAGCTAAGCGGGTTTCATACAATGTAATGATTGCTTCATCACACAAATTATGTTTGTACTGTATATATTGAATTCATCACATCACAGAAAGATATCAGTAATGTATAAAATGGAAAAACCACTGCATATAATGATTTTACAACATAATGTATCGATATTATCACTTCATTACATTATTTAACCACTACATATAATGACATTGCCACTGTATATAATGATAAAACCACTGCATATAATAAAGTTTTCAATGAATATAATGATTTTATCACTGTATATAACGATAAAACCACTGCATATAATAAAGTTTTCATTGAATATTATACAATTATTGCTGGTTTTTGAGGTCAATACGATGATTTAGACACCTGAGGAGTACAATATTCACCGAGCCCGAAGGGCGAGGTGAATATTGTACTTCGAAGGTGTCTAAATCATCGTATTGACCTCAAAAAACAGCAATAACTGTTTTATTATATGATTAAATGATAGCAAACTCCTACAAGACTGTTTTCTTTGCTTTAATTGAAAGTTTTAATGAGAAATTTCAACAAGAACACATTGTAACATGAAAAAATGGAACAGGAATAATTCATGATATTGACCTGCAATAATTCCTTATATTGACCTGGAAGGTCACGTGATTCATTATATTGACCTGCAATAATTCCTTATATTGACCTGGAAGGTCACGTGTAGGTCAATATAACGTAGTATTTTTCTAACATTGTTGGATCTCAGCCAATCAGAAAGAGGGAAATTATTCAATCATATAATAAAATGATTTTACCACTATATATAATGACTTCACCACTTCACATAAAGGTTATTGCACCTCATATAATATGAAAATGACCTTCAGGCAGCTATGGCATTCCATAGTTTTTGCCGAGATATGAAGTTGGTGATAACCGATTGTGGTCAGTGAGGTTGCAACAGAATCAGTCTCCCACATAAAAATCGAATAAAATCCAGTGATTGAAAATTTAAAATTAATCAACCAGTGCCACGCTGTTCATGTGTACCTGGTGCACCCAACTTCTGGTTGCTCCAGTTCGAAATTGTCGTTTGGTGACTTCTTCATACCGTTGCTATCTATAGAAAATAATTTTATGCTTGTTAATCTCTTTGCAACAATGTTTTCACCTGAAGAAAGAATAGTCTTTTAATTGTTCTAAAGTCCTACAAATTTCTGCAAACACCATTTAGTGATACTGACTGCATTAGTACGCTCTTCTGGGGTCAAAGGCTCCGCATACGATGTAATTTTTGTGTGTGAGTTTTTAATTAATGCAAACATAAAGTAACACAAAAAAGTAGAATTTTTTTTCCTCCAACAAGTGTTAGCACGTTTTTGATTTTTCTTATGGAATGGTTACGCTTTATTTAATATTGTACTTATTTATCAGTTAAGGCATTTAATTACCTTGTTTTTTACTTTGGTAACATATTTATATATCAAATACATCACAAACAAGTTTTAAAGTAAAGTATTAATTTTCTTTGGTGGCGCGTTAGCAATTTTGTCTTTTAAAGATATGTTTATATACTTTCTATTACTAGGCTGAGAAGGACAAAAGTGTCGAGAGTGGTAAAGAAGAGAAGATTCAGGATGATGTTCCCAACGTCAAACAACTGCTGGCAAAGATAAAAGAACAGAGAAAGGTTCTTAGTATTCTGTTGTTAGAGAACTTTTTTCTCCCAATCACTAAAATGTATGGACTCCACATTCTAACCCTTGCATTTTTTAATTATGAAAAATAAATAATGATAAAAAATAATTTAGCAGAGTATTCCTTCAATTGATTTTGGCTGAAACACGGGCACCTGAAATTTTATCAACAAGTAGGAAATAAAGCCCTATAGATAAAAAATTCTTCCCTCTTCATGTGTATAAAAAGCGCTGTATTTATATATCACTAATAAAATTTCAGTTACATGTGGTTGAATTAAAAGCATTAATGGTAAATGTTCATGATAATACATTAGGGTAAAGCACTGCAAATTCTTTTTAATTTTACAAGCCTCCCCTTCCCGGACCCAGTGGATGTAGGATGGGGCTAAATTATCAAAATAATATAAAATTATTTAAAATTCTGTATACTACCAAGCATCTAAGGGACGTACTGATTGCAGAGTTATATCAAGTATACGGGCATCTCAGCGGAAATTATGAAATTCATGACCCCTGCTTCATGCTCCAGGGTGGGGGTAAATGCAGTTTATCATGATCATGTATTTTATCTTTTAAAACCTTTTTTTATTATCTTGAGGACAAACTAATGCAAAGCAATATCTGCAAGCATGCAGAAAAAAAGTGTGGAAAACCAAATGGGAAAGACTGCGAACAGACAGACGAGGGACAAATAAAAAGCAGTGATCTTAATATAAACTGCAAAATTCATTTCCCCTACCTGAGGGTTTAGATAATAGGGTGGGACAATACGTATTTTGTATGTATTGACAGTAGTGAAAATGCATTTAATCTCCAGAGAATAAATTTAAATAAAAACAAAAGAAGCTTTAAGGAAACAAACTGAATGGACAGCAAAAACAAGCAAGTTGATCTAAGACATCATGGAATTCCTCTGTTCTGCCCAAGGGGTCAGGTACAAAAAAGTGAGGCTTTCATACAGTATGTAGTGAAAAAACGGTCCAAAGCGCAACATAAATAGGTGAAATATATAAAACCCTGTTCAAGGGCTCAGATCCCAGTGTGGGGCTAGATCGGCTGAAGGCAGTTCAAATCTTAACATTATACATTTATTGCATCCCTCACTATCATGCAATAAATTGTTTATTATACCGAATCAAGCACAATGCAGGAAATATAAAGAAAATCCAATTAATATAGTAAACATTTGATAAGAACAACATGAAACAGAAGTAAGTTACACCACTACTCGCGCTTCATAAAAAAAACCCAAAACATTCCTTCGTGACAAATCAGTGTAATTTACACACCAGTAACATTAACCCCCCCCCCCCCCCATGAAAACACTTTTCTAAATATTTATATTTTTACACGTTTAAATTGACACAATCAATCAAAGGTATAAACAATCTAACTCAGTAGTAAACTCAGTCTCCGCATTGTGACGTCATAATCGTGAAACACGAAGTTTTGTTGCAGGGCAAACACGACGGTCACGTGACTGTCTCGGCCAATTAGATTCTATTTTACTAGTGATTATTTATATGAGGTATAATAATACTGGTTGTCCGCGTGGCGCGGTGTTAAATCGTCTGTTCATATAGTAAGGTGTTGAATCGTACGTCACAGGTGCGAATCCCACTGCGGAATGTGGGGAACGATCCTTCGGATGAGACCGTACAAACCGAGGTCACGTGCAGGCATGAAAAAGATCACTCACTGCTCAAAGACCGTGAGTGCCAAGTACAGGTATAAATTTGCAGCCCTTCTTCGACGGCAAGCGGTGGCGTCTCCAAAAAATTCTTGAATTAAACCAAAAAACAAAACAAAAAAAAAAGCAACAAAAAAAAAAACAACAAACAAACAAAAAAAAAAAAAAAACAAAAAAAAAAAAAAAAAACAAAAACAAAAACAAACAAGACAAAAAAAAAACAAAAAAAACAAAAACAAAAACAAAACAAATAAACAAAAAAAAAAAAAACAAAAACAAAACAAAAACAAAAACAACAAAAAACAAATACTTGTTTGTACTGAATATTATTAAGCAAACACAGATCAATTTCAACAAAAATGGAATTCAGATTGTGCTACATCCAGTAAAGGCAAAATTTCATATAAAATTTATTTTCATGTAAAAAGGTATCCGTTATTAATAACCTTTGTAAATTCATTAATATTAATATAGTTAATACAGAAACGTAGCATCGTGGTGGGGGGGGGGGGGGGGGCAGCCAGAGAAAAAAATTTCAACTTACCTGAAAAAAAACTTGACCAAAAAAACCGGAAAATTGTCCGAACTCGAAAATCCTATTTCGTACGGGGGGTTGGGGGGGGGGGGGGTGGTTTCCAACTTCTTTCAGTACCAACCAAATTTTATTCATATACTACTACAAATCCCTTATTTTACTATTCTACAACAAAAAGTCGGGGGGGGGGGGGGCAACCGGCCTTTCAATTCACATTTCAAATAGTAAAAAAGGTCTTTGGAAAAAAGTGGGGGGGGGGGTGCAAGAGAGTTACCTCTCCTGGTAAATGTAAATTGTACACTCTTGCGTCATGTATTTTGTTTGATTTTGTTGTTGTATTTTCTCTAGGTTTTTTTTATACAGTGTGAGAATAAATTGAATTGAACTGAATTACGATTTCAATGTGCTGTCTATCAATTATAGGCTGCAGAGGACACATGTGTTATGACAAAGGATGAAGAGAAAGTCCAGACCGTTCCTGTTGTTCAAAACAGCAAACGACAAGTATTAAAAGGAATCTTAAAACAGGAAAAGGTTCTTAGTATTTTGTAGTTTGTGATAGTTTATTCCTTCAAGTGATCATTATAAGGTCGCCCCTATTGTCTATTGAGAAGCTGATGGCTCGTTTTAATACTCCCCCTCAACAAGTTGAGGAGGAGTATTAAAACGAGCCATCAACTTCTCAATAGAGAATAAGGTTGCCCCCTTTCATCCCTCCTTTGTAATATTTAATGAAAAAAAATAAACAATGATGAAAATTCCATTCCCAGTTGATTCCTTCAATGTGTTGCCTCCATTTTGACTTTGATATGCTTTTGTCCACTAATTCTGTAAAAATCAACTAAGGTTGAATTACAGGCCCCTGACAAGTACCAAATAAAGGCCAAATTAAAAAAAACCCTCCCTTCTCTCTATATAAAAATATTGTTTTAGTAAATGGAGGCGTTTGGATGTGAAAGTGCTTTATTTGCATCATTTTGAAACAATGTTGGGTTTAGAGCAGTTATTACTTGTTTATGAAATTGTATAATGCTGCAATTCTGTCCCTTGAGACCTTCGGAATGGAACCGAAATGACAAAAGGATACCATATTTAGAAATCTTTTTTTTAAATTAGCAGGCTAGAAGGAGACAAAGTGACTGCATAGTTAACCAAAAGAATGCAGTGAGGTTTTTATTCCCTCCCCAAAGGAGTAATGCTATAGGGCCACCTACATGTTGTTACGTGGAGTTTGCTGCGGTAAAGTATAATTTATTGGGATAAAGTCTTTTCTTTTAGTTAGTATCTGGGAGACAAACTGACTGCATAGCACTACATGTAAAAAGCAAAATGTTTCCAATACTGTGAAATGAACCTGTACTTGTACCTATGGGGTTCAGGCCACGGGATGGAGATATTTCTGTAAATGGTTAAAATGCATTTTATTCATAAAATCTTAGCAAGCATCTAGAAAATTTGTGTGGTTGGCAAGTTGATCTCAAACATTACAAAAATCCTCCGTTTTTTTTTTTTGTTTTTTGTTTGTTTTTTTTTGCCAAAGATGGTATAATTTTTATTGTGTATTTAAGAAGAAAATTTCCTAATGAACATCAATCGTTGCGGATGGATCTTGAATCGCAAAATAATGTTGTTACTAATAATAGATGGTACACATAATCAAAAAGGAATCATGTTTGAGAACTTTTTTTTAGAATTATTGATCAAATTACAATTGCCTGAGCTCAAAAAAAAAAAAAAAAAAATGAAAATTTATCGGATTACTTATGATAATGATACACAACAAAATATAATCAACGATTACTTATGATTACCCCATCCCTGATACATTCATGTATTAAAGTAGATAAAATGTCCACTGAAAAAAAGAACAGGGATGAAATGCTTTAAGAACTCCTGAAAATCTTGCATGTTAATACATCATCTGAAATAAAATCTTAACCTCATACATATGCTGACAGACAGACAGTCAAGTAATACAAGTTACGGAGGGAGGGTAAAATGTATTGTGTGTGAAATGAAGTGATACTAAGTAAATGAAAATGACCGGTCGACAGGGGATAGGTACTCCTCCATGGCACCTTTAGAGGTCCGTGTTTAATCTACTCTCGGTTTGTATTGTTCTTATGACTTCTGAGTTTGATTATTGTTCGTTATTGTCATATTTCATGTGAATTACCTGAAATTATTTTTTTTTTAACTTTGAAAATTTTCTGCTTTTCTTATAAGACTGAAAAGAACGTCACTGTCAGAAGTGTTCTGAGAGGAGAAGAGAGCAGCGAGGATGTGATTGAGGTTCAAAACGGCGATCAACTACTTGCCCGACTTAAACAGAGCCTCAAAGAGGAAAAGGTTCTTAGTATTTTGTACTTGGAGATTGTTTATTTTGGAAGTGGTCATTATAGTGTATGGACTATAAACCCAACCCCTTCTCTGTATTTCTTATAATTCGTATATAATTATAATGGTGAAATATTAATGATTGGGGGGGGGGGGGAGTCTCCATACCATTTTGACTTTTACGCACTAGCTTTTGGTTTTTTTTACACAGTTAAAAATCAACACCAGGTTGGTTTTTTAGGTGAATGAAGTTTACACATTTAAAGCAGTTGCATCATGCATATGAATTGAATAATAAGGAAATTTACTCATATACTCATGAGTACATTGTAGATACACATATCTCTGAACGAAACTTTAATAATCTGAATAAAAATGAGCTCTAGATATGTTTAAGTACCAAGGCACAACTGTTTGAACATACTTTCATAAAACTAAATCCTTTTAAATACTGTATAGAGGTAAAAATTTCGCCCCGGTTTTATTTCCTCGTAAAAAGTGGGCGAATTCAACGAAGACAGTATTTTATCTTTAACACAAATGCTTCTGGAAAAAATTGCTTGCAAGTGTGAAAGAAGAAAATTACCCTGTATACAATATGTACATACTTGTACATGTAAATTTGGAATAAGTATTTTGATTTGATAGTCCTTTAATCGGAAGTTTTGTACTTAATATGAGGGTTTTTTTTTTTGTAGCCTTTCAAATCTAGAAGAGGAGACAACTTAAGAGCTCCGTTTCGCCATACCCAAAAACTTGGAAAGATTAAAGTGAGTTAAGTTATCAATATTCAAAACACATTTGCTATAAATTGCGAGTCTTCAATTAATTATATGCAAATTTATTTTACATGACAGGAAGATGAAGAATTCCGCGTCAGACAGGACGATCGGCGGTATGGAATATTCCAGTCCGATTCGGAGTGGGGAAACTCTGACTCCGAGTCGGACTGGTCCGAAGGAGGACCAGACGTCTACATGGAAGTATGTGTAAAATTAATAATTTTATCGAGTCAAGAAAGAAAAGAGATCTAAAAGAGACCCACTAACCCACTAAAATTGATATTCAACACTTTACTGAAATTAAGTTTTACTTTCTACTATTTGTTTTTTTTTCGAAGTGCGATTGTGTAACACCGGTCAAATACTATTGTTGCTGCCAATGCTTTAGAAGAAAGAGGACTGCAAAGGTATTGATCTAGGCCTTGGTTCAATTACTTAATAAAATTTGATTTTATTTTGACTGATATTTGTATTTCTCCAATCTAGACTCCGCCCGTTACATTTAAATGGGTGGGGGATAAACAAGATAAGGACATAGAGGAAAGAGAGAAGGAGGATAAGGACACAGAGGGAAGAGAGAAGAAGGATATGGAAGTACACGATGAAAATGAAGAAACAGAGAAACCAAAACGTGTAGGGGTATGTTTCAATTGATAAGAAATCTTGTATCAGATTTGTTTTCGTATTTGCTTTTAATTTTTCAAATATTATAATTGTTTATATTTGGTGATCGTCTTTAGCTGAATTTGGTATCTCACGAATTTATATTTCAGAGAATGAAGAGAATCAGAAATTTTCTGAGAGGATTATTTTGTTGCATGAGGTAAGCTGGGGGAAACAATGCTCGAATTTTGTTTTGATGCATTGATGTTAATTATGGATTAAATATGTTCCATACTTAAAATTTGCTCGTTTTCAAGTTCAGATGCAATTCCTCCTTTCGTTTTCAATATATTAAGAGGGCTGTCCAAAAAATTCATAGACACAGTCATGTTTTCCTTTATAATGACTTAAGTGTCGAATACATATATGGTAATAATCTAATATAGATATGATTGAATTTATAAAAATCAAAACAATACACAGTACTTCACAAGTGTTATGAGTGTAAATACTTTGAATATACCATCCGCACGGCAAAGTCTGAGTAACATGAAAGCTAGTTTTATATTAACGACTTGGATACAGGGACATCATATTACAGTGGTAAAGAGATCCGCTTCTTGCAGTCTCTCAAATTGTACACACAGTGGAAAAAAGTGTAAATTCATAAACTGGAAATATTCCGATTATTCCTTGTTGATATGTTATTTCTTTGTCTCTGATCTGTTTTAACACTATTAAAATATAAAGAATGGGCGCTGGTCCGTTGGGATGTTTGGACATTTTCAAATTCACTTTTCTATTTCTTGTGGGTTTTTTTTTCTTAACATTTCTCTATCCGTCCATTAACTGATACTAAAGACATAAGAAATAACGACAGTCGTTTTACAGTGTTTTAGGTACTACGTAACAAATAATTTTTATTTAGCTTTGACTTGTCTTATAAAAAACAAGAATGATCATTTTCATCCAAAACATTCATTAAATAGTTTATAACATTTTGACCATGGGTCGTGCATACTGTGTACGACCTTTAATTGAGCGATTTTTACCTGTTAGATTAAAACTACCCTGCACTCTGATTGGGTTTTTTGTAACAAATATTTTGGCAATATATAAACTTTATTTATTAAACAATATCTTTATCTATATGTAGGACCATTCGATATGACATAAAGACATTGTCCACAAACTTATTGGGCAGCTCTCGTACAATGTATAAATTAAGGTCTGACGAAACGTTCTTCGAATTGTGCACATTTTATTGTTACTTTTAATAACACAGGCATTAAACACAAATTCTAAAAAATTATTACGCCCTCTCCCTAAAATATTTATATAAATGTATATATTGTCTGACCTTAAGTCATCAAAATGTTTAATTGACATTACTTTTAATTGTAGGAAAAATAATGACGACTGAAAATGGCTGCTTCTGCATATCTGGATTTTAATTATTTTTCTATAATGACATTTTTCATATTTTTTTTAAGTTTAGACACCAAAGAGGAGATACCCGAGCTATTTATCCCCGTACTTTATATTGGCATTTAATTGGGTTCATTTTTCTTTGTTTGGTTGTTTCCTCAAATTTTCCAGAATGTGGGCAACAGAGCAGAGAAAAAGCTCTGTGGCTAGCATTGCTGACAAAAATTACCTATTCTAAATTCTTCTTTGGCTTTTTTTATCTGGTAATAAGGCAAACGGGACAGACTGTTCTGCCTACTTACCAGAGCAAACTTACTTCATGACTTTCGGAACTTTCGACCAACCAGGAAACACCCATTCCTATATAGAGGAATGGGATTTATGTTTCCTGTCAAAAACTGTAAATTGTAATTGTTACATCCATTTAGAGATGTTAATGAAAGCTCCGTTGTCTTCTCTTTTCAAAATTCTGTTAAATTCTTTTTATGAACGTTAAATCATTCGTTAAATCATTAAATTGTATTGCAAGATGGAGCTTTTGTATTTGTAATTTGTGTGCGTGTGTGTGTGTATGTGTGTGTGTGTTTTGTTTTTGTGGTGGTTGGGGGTTATAGTAGAATCACATTGTTTGCCGAGTATCTGTAGGCATTTCCTGTCTGGAAGTTATCTCGAAAACTACTCAGTATTCAATAAAACTTTTTTTTAAGTTAATTTTTTTTAAACATATTCCATTTTAACAATGCACTTCTTTATTTTCAAGTTTTATTCGTAAACATTTTGAAATGTGGCTTGATTAATAATTGCCTCAGCCACAACTTTGAAATGTTAAATCTTTATTTATAACTGTACTACCTGTTGTGATAGTAATATGCTGTTTTAAGGTAGAGATTGATAGGTTGTCAACAAAAAAACTAACCATTGAAATTTTCTGAATTTTATATATGTTTGTGTTGAGTCTTTGTTCTAAATCATATTAAAAATTCAAGGTAGGTCATCGGGCTAGTTTAAGAGAAATTTGATTATTTTAATATAGCCTTCATCACCCACCGAAGAGATTAAAAAGCAGGGTAGAATAATATAAGAAGAAGAAATGAAAAGGGCTATAAAATTTTTATTGATATATTAATTATCATTTGTCTTATATGAATTCAAACATCTGTCTATATGAATTAATATTTGACATCAATCTTAAAAGTATCAAGCATTGTAAACAAAAAACAGAATTACATTCACCAAGATGCATGGTCAAATTACGTTAAAATATTGCCTATTCATTGCTCAAAGACTCACACGTCTGCTTCCACTGTGAAAAAATTACCCATCAAATTTCTTTTTTTATTGCATATTATAGTTAGTCAATATGTATCTTAAATTTCAGAAAAAAATCATACTACATAATGGGGTTTAATTTCAACCTGGCGCAAGTTTATTATCTTACACCCTACCCTACCCCCTTCCTTTACAAAGGATGCACTTTTGAAGAATATGGTGACTAAGAGAGATTATCAAAGAATTCATCAAAATATTTCACAGAAAATGCGTAAATTCTTTGTAATATTCTTCTAAGTTACATTTTATATCACAAAAGCAAATATTTATACATCCTAGACACATGTTGCCCTGGTTGACCTTTTTGCACTTACATTCAAACAGATATAAACTTTCCTTTATATCGTTAAAATTGACTTTGATAGATTTATTATACATATGATTCTTGGATGAATTATCAATGACAATATCTTTTGACCAATTCTGTGCATAAATAAACTGTTCTTTTAATCTTCCTTTGACAACATTAGTATTAATTTCACTTTCCTTTAACAGTTTCTTTTTCATTCCAAATACATGTATAACATATATAAGAATACCCAGTGATTATGAAGTTTTGTAAACAGAATCAATCCACAGTATGTTATCCTAATGTTTTAAAGATATTCAAATAAAAGCATGAGTTATGTGTTTCACTGTTTAATGAAGACTGCCTGGTCATCAGTAGTCAGATATTAATACACTAAAGCATCACATGGTAAAAAGTGCCGGGAAATAGAGTGATTCGGTTATCATTACATACATACAAAAATAGTGTAATAATTTACGTAAGAACATATAATCTATTAAAGGTAATAATTTGTAACTTTAAAGTATAGATTTTACACACAGATTCATAAAAGTTAGAGGACTGTATATGATGGTGTACAACTTTTAAACTCAGGATGTAATTCAACAAAATAAAGTGAATACATTTAATAATATGTACATTTTTCTTGAAGTCCAAACTCCTCAAGTAATTTCAAGAAAATTGGAATGTCATTTGATACAACATTATGACCTACAACAAGAAAAGGATGGTTTGATTTAAGAAAATCTAAGAAATATAACAATGCTTGATGAATGTTGATGCTACATGTACATGTATTACCATTAAGATTCATTTGGAAAAGTAAGATAAACTTGTTATTTTGCTAGCTGTAGTTTTTTGGCTTATTGGCTGACGAAGATCAATCATTTATGTACACATGTATGAATCTTTAATTGCCATCATATGGATCCAGTTGTGTCATGTTCAAGGAACCGGACAATTCTGTTGATTCTATGTCAATACAACAAAGGTGTTCTTTTCAGGAGCTGCAATGAGCGGAATTCATTCTGTATATTCAGATTTTGAAGCACATATATAATGGGTGGGATATGTCTGTTCCTCTTTACTGTATCCTTCTGGTAGTTCTTTTTCTGAAATGAACAAATTTTTTTAATATTTAAAGAACTAAAATACATGTATTACTACTTTCTTACACTACAAACATAGTATGACTATGTCTATATTATGAATATAAGACATTTCTGTCAGATTATACTGTAGCAATACATTTTTATATATGTATTCATCAAATTGTCATGAATCTTTTAATCAAATGCATATGTAGTCAGCTTCATTAATCTGGACACTTTTGCTCCCATGGAAATTGTTTGGATTAATGAAGTGTCTAAATTAAAAAAAATTGGTATATATAGATAAAGATTAAATGTTCTAGTTTCTCAATGTAGGTCACACTCTAAGGCCAAGATCATGGGGTTAAAAAAAGAAATAAACATGTGAAATACAAAGACTCAGCAATAACTGTTTAAGAGTTAAGGCCAAAGGATAAAGTTTTTGTGGAAAAAACACTACATGTACCTGTCAATGAAACATCTTCAATGTAAAACAATACATACAGCAACTAGCAACATGCTGTATGTGTACTTAAAAAAGCGGGCTTCATATTTTAGCAGCTTTGGCGCAGACAACGATGCGCTAATTCAATAATACTGCAAAGAAATCATTTATAAATACAATATACAGCAGGGACATATATAGTTCGAATTCATGATTTTGCCAAAAATTCCACACCCAGTAATTGCGCTAATTTTTAAATAAGCAAATTTATGTACAGTAACTATTATAATTATGTGGAATTAAAATACATTTTTTACATCATTCTTATTCCTTGGTTTTAATCCAGTCTTGTCCTAATTACCTTATTGACATAATTCCAATATTCTTTTGTAACACTGCATATGACACTTGATTATATAGCCAAGGATCATGTATGTCCATAAGATCTGTAACATGAAGAAAAGACAATAAAAATTAAAGTAGATAGCTTGATCTATTTAAAAGATATTGTAGAATTTATTAACAATTCTGGCCCCAGGATCATGAAAGATCTTAAGCTTAAGTCAAAATCTTAATGTTGCACTAAAACATTGTAGACATTAAGTAGACCAAAATTAAAATAATTGTCAATATTGCATTACAAAAGTGTTTTTATCTGCAAATTTAGAGATTAATTCAATAATTAATAAATACTTTACAGGCGATTGAAAATTTGACTTAAGTCTAAGTCTGTTTCATGATCCTGGGCCTGATTTAATTTGTAAATTTAATTTTTTGTAAATTTAGGTATGATAATGTGAAGAAGTCAGTATGTACATGTATTGTTAAAAAACCATGTCTCATAAGTTTTTTAACAATACTGACTTCTTCAGATTATCATAGCAATTCTTTGGTGTTATAGTTGAAACAATCTCATTCAAGTTAGAAGACATCTTTACATTTTATAATTTTTGGTTACATGTATTCAGTTTTTAATTCAATTTACAATGTGGTTTTTTTTTTGTATGTCTATACACAAGCATTTACCGGTACATGTATTTAAGTCAATAGAGCACCTGACTAGTGATGCAGGAGTCCCAGGTTAGAATCTCGGTCCAGCCATACATTTTCTTCCTTTCCTGTCACACATGTACAGTTACTATAGCAGATCTGTCTTGAATTTTCCTGAAATATGTATATGAACTTTGAAAAATTATTGACTTGAGAAAATGCTTCTACATGTATACAATAGTTTGTACATTATGGTGTGTAACTTAAGAATATAAGGACTAAAAATTTGAAATCTAATAAATTTATAATAATATAAAACAGCTCCCCCCCCCCCCCCCCTTATTGGAAAAATTTCTGGATTTTCCCTGATACATGTGCAAGTGTAAATTGAAAGGAAAAAATAAGAGACGAAACAAATTAAGCTTTAAATACAAACCAATGGCTACTTTGAAGTTAATGTAAAAAGCACCCTTGATATTCCTCTTTCCAGCTGACACTTGATTTGAATGGCCACATTATTTCCGCAGAGAATGCTGAATACACTGCCTTAGCCTAGTCCATATTTTGCTTCACCTGTAGTATTTAATATTTCTTTTAGTATTTATGATATCTGTTTATAATCAGGGCCCTTTTGAGCATACAACAAATACATACATAATTTATTACATGTGCATAATTATTACATAAACTTGCATTTATTTAAAAATCTTTTGAATACAGCACCATTTAAACTGTTATTTATCATCTATATATATGGTTCATAAGATAACATGTAAAATACATATACTTAAATAATATACAATGTTAAGTATTAAACAGGTCCAGTCAATCAGTACATTTATCTGCATAGGTTGAATTACCTACAGACCGCTACTGTAACTTTATTTAGCTACTTTGGGTAGCTTTATTTAGCTATTTCAATGCAACTTTTTACAAATTTGCTTTTTATTTCAAAAAGACAAAAGATCTAGAATTGCAAGTAAATATCCACAATTACTTATACAAGGGATTAATATTTAAAAAGCGATCCAAAGCTGAGAAAGTTTACACATTTCTGCGTTTTAAC